AAGTCATTTAAGTCATTTAAGTCATAAAGTCAGTTGTTTCCCCCTTGCTAACAACTGTTTTCCTTATAGAATAAATGGTACTAAGCCGACTTCATAATTTCAAATGAAACGCTACCGTCAAGTACAAACAAAATCAACAAATATTATCTATTTATCAGTTCTCTTCTATATTTCCACAACTGATTAGAGTTCTTTTTTTATATTGTGATCTTGTTTTATTTTCATTCTGATATATCCGCAAGTTTTTACTTTCGGTTTTTTTCTCTTTTTTTGTAATTGTTCACGCAAATAAATTATAAACAAGACATACTGCAAATTTATTGACTATTTTTTCATTTTTGAATTTACTTAGGACATACCAAAAGTAGTGAGAGTGACACTTTAATATCTTATAGTAGACTGACAGAAACTTTCTTTCTATATAGTCTGATAGAGAAAAAAAGCTCTATGTTTCTATGCTATTTGATCATGCTTCAAGTAATATAATAATAATAAGACTCCGACACAATCTATTTTATTAGCATGTGTCACCGTTAGTGAGTATTTTTCGAATAACTGTTGATAGAAATAAAATAGAGAAGTGCGGTTTTCACCGTTGCAGAGAGGAAATAAAAATGCAACGAATCTTAAATTTTAGATATTTTTAATATTCATTTCTGTAGTATTTTTATTCAATTTTCTAACAGTCGGAAAAATGTTTTATAATTTTGGCTAGTCAATACAATGATCATAAATTTGTTTTTTAATAAATTAATACTTTTTTGATTGTGTATTTTTCTTTTTTAATTTATGAATAAATAAACATAAGATAAACAGAGGAAAAAAAGAAACAAAGACAATAAATAATTTTAAGAAAAAAATTTTACGTTAGGTCTTTCGAATGACTTTCTCTGTCAGGCGAATAATTTATTTCATGTGAATACTCAGAATCAATGGTCTTATTGTTGATAGTGGTCCATCTGGATTTTTCAAATTCGAATGCAAGAATTTTTTTTGAATTTTTAAATTTTTAAAATAGTAATTTAATAATTAATATATATTATACCAATTTTTTCGTGATGAAGGTTTCATAATACTTCAAGCATAGCAGTGAGTACATTTGAAACTATAATTGTTTTTGAAAAGAAATGAGTTTGAGGGATATCGATTTTTCATTGATGTATCGAGGTAGAGATAGAGAAGTAGTTTTGTTTAAGCTTGCAATTTAGTTGGAAAAGAAAAGACACAAAGATTGGAGTATATTTTTTAAAGTTACACTTTTTATGAAGAAGATAACATATATTTTCACAGGAAAAAAATCACATAAAGATTAAAGAATTTTTCTTTTTTAAGTTTTTTAGAAGAGAAATGAGATATTGCAAGATTGATTTTTTACAGTTATGTATATAGATAAAGATAGAGAAGTAATTACATTTAAAGTTACAATTTTTATGAAGAGAAAGAGAGATAAGAGATGAAGATTGAAGAACTTTCGTTTTTTTAAGTTTACAATAAATTTAGGGGGAAAATCGAACAAAGATAAAAGAATTTTTCTCTATAAAGCTACAATTTTGGAACGCAAAAAGAAATATGTGATGAAGATTGAAGAATTCTCTTTGTTTAAAATTACAAGATGTTTGGAACAGAAATGAGATAAAGATTGAAGAATTTTTCTTTGTAAAATTCTTTGATTTTGGTTTGTAAAGTTACAATTTTTTTTGAAGAAGAAATGAAGTAAAGAGTACAGAAATTTCTTTTTTCAGAGTTACAATTTCAATAGAGGAGTTTTAATATTTGTTTACCCGGTCGTTTTTTTTACAAGCAGTTGTTTTAAACTATCGGTAAGTCCATTAGCGTAGATTATATGAGTGCTATCTAATGAAGTTCCATCAAAGACTTCAGTCCATATCTGGTGGAAATTAGTACCGAAGTGTGCTAATGCTGGTGTGTACGAAAAATGACAAAGCATGTCATTTCTAAAATCTATTGTTCTTTTCGTCTTTTTATTCTATTGTTCATCTAATACTCTTTCTCTATATTCCTTGTGTTCTTTACCTAATAATGTATCGGAAGATTTTTTCTCAGTTAGATCTTGATAGAATCTAGCCATTTGTTGATCAATAAATGTTGGTGGATATTTATTTAGTAATAACATTACTCTAATTTTGTCTAACTCTTCTCGAAGATCGTCAGAATGTGAACAAATTCGCATTGCTCTGAATGCAGCAGAATATGGAATATTCCTCATAATATGTGGTGAATGTGATGAATGGAATGAAAGTATGTATGGTTGAGCTGCTAGTTTACGATATACTGTTGCTTTGAAGTTCGGAATATCGATGGTTGTTGTTATATCTATATAGTCTACTGATTTTTCTCCTTTCCAATGTATAATGATATTAGGATCGGATCTATTTAATTCTTCAAGAATATTTTTCATTTTTTCACATGATGATTTCGTTGTGAGAAAAAACATCATCTCTAAATCGAAAGTATAATTCATGTTGTTTCTGCTGTTGTTGTACAAATAAATTCTCCTATTTTCTGACATAAATGTCAGTTAGTACTTGAGTACAGGCTGATCCTATAGCTCATCCTCTAATTTGTTTATAATATTTAGCTTCTACTCTGGATAATTGAAGAAAAAAATAGGAATTTTCTAATACATGTAGAAATAAAGCTTTTATTGAATTTATAGATAGATTACGTATTTTTCTATATCCATATCTACCTAGAAACTCGCATACCGCTAATACTGCTTCTTTTTGAGTAATTATTATATATAGATCTGTTATATCAAATGTATATATGTTTGTTTCTGATGTTGTTTTACATTCTTTCAAGTGTTTTGGAAAGGTTATTGAGTTAGAAATTGAATATGGAGTATGGTTATCAAAAAGTGGTGGAATATTTTTATCACTAAAACTAGCTATTTTTACTAATGGTGATGTTGGTATTTCTATATATGCATTTGTTTCTCTCATATATGCTGTTGATTTTTCTATATATTTTTCTCGAATATCTGCATGAAATACTTTTGATTTGTCTGCTTGTCGAAAAATGATCTTTTTGTGTTTTTGCATTTTTTGAAAGTAATTTATCGCTGGCTCAAATGTAGGATCTCGTAGTGCTTCTGTTGCTATGCGTTTTCTTATTTCTACTTCGACGCGTTGACAAAATTTATTTACAAGAGGTGATTGTCGTCCGATAGTTTTAGTCACTGTTCTCGACGCTGCTGCTACTTTGTCTTTCATTTGTTCTATCTGTTTGGGTAAACGTTTTAACACTTGTTGTGGTGCTGGTGGAACCAATTTAGGCCCTAAATTTAGGATTTGTGTTTCTGTATCTTTCATTATGAGTGCTTTATCATTTGCTTCTAGTTTTCGCTCGTTGCGCCCGCCCTTTTCCCTAAAAAATTCAACTTCTTCTTTGCGAGTTGATGATATCTAGTACGAGAAACTTGACATATTATATCGTATGGTTCACGGAGATGTTCTGATAGTTTTATTTCTAGTTCTCCGTATTGCTTATTGGTTTGTTCTATTTCAATTATTTTTGCTTGTCTCATTGAACTAGTTAAATCTAACTTTGTCTTTCGAAGTATATTTTTCCACTGTTCTCGAAGTGATTTAAGATGATTATTATCTATTTTCAGTCCTTTTGCATGTAATTCTAATTTATCAAAAATGTTGAGAGATGGTGATGGCATATTTTCTACAAATCTCTTCTCAAATTTATCTAACTGTAATTGAAGATTTAATTTTCTCATGAATTTCCCATGTAAGTTATATATATGTTGTTGTTCTACTAGTGTTTCTTTTTTCTCAATGTCAAGTGTTGCTTTTTGTCTCATTTGATGTAAGAGAAGATTGTTTAATCTTTTTCGATCACTGTTCTTTTTATTTTCAAGTGGTTTCTCAATTATACTTTGAACGAGATTGACTATTTGCGTCCATGTCTGCCTGGTGAATGATGTGTGTAATTTATTTTCTCTTTCATCTTCTAACATTTTGTATTTTGTTTCAAGAAATTCCTGATGAATTTTTATTGTTTCAAATGTACATCTCTGTCTAGTTTTTTTAAAATGATTTCGACGTTCAATAGGTATAATGGCAAAATTAAATGAACTGTGTTGTGAAATAGGATTCTTTGGTATAACAGACAGTGATTTTGCTAGTGGTTCTGATGTCGAACTTTGTATTGGTGATATTATCATCGATGGTTCATATATTGCCAATAGAACTCTAGCTGGTGATGTATTCTGTTTGTCAATTGGAAGTATGAATTGAAAAAACGTTGCTGTTTGTGATTATTCTCTATGCTTGGTGATAACCGAAGTGATCCTTCAACCAGTGGTTGATTTAGATCTCTTGACGGTAATATTCGTCTTGGAATAACTGGTAGTGGTTGTCGTGAAGCAAGTGGTGTTGGTGGGTTATCTAGTCGATATCCTATCTTTGAGAATGCATCCTATTCCGCGATGTTCAACATTGCGGAATCAGTTCCACCCCCGGAATCAATTCCGTCAGATTCCTGCAGCTCGATTATGATTCTACAGAACAGGTCCACTCGATGTCGATCGACTTCGGTCAATTTCCGGAATTCCACACCTGAATTACTTTCCGCCCTCACCCTCACGCATGGTGGTGTGCTTGACGGTGAATCCCTGGGATAAGTAAGTAATTCTGGAACGGAATTCTGGGAATTGGGTGTGAGTGGCTGTAGCTTTTCTTTTTAACACTCCGCATCAACACCCACACACATCCCATAACAAATCGGATCTGGGTAAACGAGTCAAACTTGACCAAACTGACGTATCATCATTACTAAAAGAAGTTAGGAGGGTGTATGTGGGTGTGCTGCTCAAGAACAGAAGAACACCCACATCCACCTCCATCACATCCACACTATAGATGCGAACCTTCTTCTCCTGCAGCCTGCGGGCGGCACATTCCTACGCTTGGCATTGTTCTCCAATGCACTTCTTGTTTGTTTTCTATTCCCGTTGACGACATCTTTTTTTTCAATGGATAGCTCGTTGCATGGCTAACCAAAATGAATCATGATTGGATCCTGAGGGTGAATCGAGCATGCCATGATCCAAATGATTTCGACATAGAGGGTAGGCGTGAGTGTGGTTGTGGAGGTGGAGGTGGGGCGTGACTGTGGATTTTTAGAAAACGAACACCCACCCCCATAATGTTCAGATTTGCTTCCATCTTGTTGCAAACGCTCGGTTCGCTGGCTAAACAACCAGTATTATAAAATAGTAAGAATTTATCACGATATACTATATGAGATAGTAAATGTTATTTTCATTTTTCTTTCTCTCAGTATAATGGAACATTTCACCATCACAGAATGCTTCACTATTAGTCTCATTAAAAAAATCGATAAAACCAATTTAATACAGTTTCTCATTAGCTTTCTGCTAGAGAATTTCATGACCTACTTTCAACTAAACAAAAACAAAAAATACAACTTATTTATCCTGGGCAACTTCAGAAAATACTAGGTGATGTTATCAATTGGTTCATTCCCTACATAAAGCGCTGGTCTCCAGACTCTAAAGAACCTAGAAATCATACAATTTTGTATTATTTTTCACGCACTATTTGATAAGGTATCATTGAGGTTAAAGCAAAAAAGTATGCCTTGATAACTATGGAGCACAAGATCACTTTTGGTGAAAATCCGCATAGGGTTTTGAACATAGTGTCCTTGTGATGTCCTAGTGAGCATGTTTTTTATGGTCTAGAAATGATATCATTTTGAATGATTTTTCAAGCGCTATCGGATAATGTATGATCGAAGTTGAAGCTAGAAAGTATTTCTTTGCATATCGGTCATCTACTTTCCCATAGATATACTGCATAGCTGTCATAATCGGGATATGGAAACAGTTCACAAAATGGTACTAAAGTCCTTGAATATAATATCAAAATGTTTGTCACATTTTTCTCTTTCATTCTATGTGCAATTCAATGGTGTATAATATAAAAAAGTCCAATGGACCGATTCATGTTCTTATGCGCCCTCCTCCTTTATTGAAATCTTGAATCAACATAAAAATAAAGTCTAAACTAGGAAAAAAAATTCGATGAAACAAAAAAACAAAGTTTTAGTATATTTTTCTCGTCGAACTAATTTAACTTATGGAAGACATAATTCTTTTTCGAGATTAAATTTAAGACCTTTTGGACACGATAATTGTTGAAGAAAATAATCTAAAAATAAATAATTCAAATAAAATGAATTAATTCAAGTTAAAAAAATCCATGCGAACCATCTTCTAAAGATGTACATGAAAAAAATTTGCCTTGATTTTTCATCTGTTCATCAATGAAATATCCCGATGATCGACAACGAAAATATTCTAATTATGATACGAAAGAAAAATAAAATTCTTTTTAAAAAACAAAAATAAAATCATCCTAACGTTTATCACATCGTGAACCCGACCATCCTGGTTTACACTGACAATAAATGTAATCCTCCGAACCTATTGTACGTTGATTACAAGATCCACCATGTAAACAATATGATGCTGTACATGAACCAATTTTACCTTTTTAAAAGAATATGTAAATTTTAAAGACATATTCAAATTATTTATTGACATTTACTTGGTATTTCACAATAATCTCCATCAAAACCTAATCGACAAAGACATTTTGACTGATATATTTTTGATCCATTAAATAAAGGACGAACTGCACATATACCAGCTGACATACATTGAATTCTATCACACAATTGACCATCTTTAATTATTTTATTAAAAACATTTTTATATAAGAAATAATATAAAAAAAGATAAGTTAAATACCTGCTCGAGTTTCACAGTGACTACCAGTAAAACCACTTGGACAATAGCATTTATTTGTCTCGGGATCTCTAATACCACCATTTGTACACTTTATTTCATTTGAAGGTATCACAACATTTTCATCTAAAATAATTCAAAAAAAAAATAATTTAGTTTTTTAAATTATCTTTTAAAATTTTTACCGCATGGTTCATCTGAAAGTACATATTCTCCTTGTTTATCTCTACATATACATGAAAAAGATTGATTTAAATCATGACATGTCACAACAGATGATCCACTACCACATGGATGTGGAACACGATCACAAATTCCTTTTATAAATAAAAATAAAAATAAAAACAGTTAACGGAAAATAAAATCAAACTAAACTAAAAACTTACGACAAGGTCGATTACGTGTTATTGATTTATCTGGACATGTACAAATAATATTACCATCAAAAGTTTCAAGACAATGATAACCATTTATAGGTAAAAAATATGAATTAGGTAAACCTAATCCGTCTAATTTGCATGGATTTGAACCGTCATTACAAACTAAATTAAATTATTTAGTTTAATTTTTATTTTGTATATAAACTTACATATGCAATGACACATTTTAAGATATGCAAAGAAAAATACTATGCCAATAAGCATCTCTTTTTTTTCAATCGTTTTACAAAATGACTAACGATTATAATAGTATTTTATATAGAAAAATGATATTCATATGATTTTTTTTCTACTTTAAATAGAAATTATAAGAAAAAAAGGGATTTTATTATTGTCTATTATACAAAATAATCTAAATAAACCTTGAAAGTAAATTGATCTTCAGAATGTCTTTTTTTTATTTAGTAATAAATAGATTTTGTTTCATTTTCATCCTTTCGACAATATTTAATGTCTCACCTTCAAATGTTATATCATTTTATCTGTTTTTTTTTTTCGTAAACACAAAGATTTTAATGAGAATGCTTTTTATTTTTGTTAACAACTAGATCTTTCTCCTGAAATTTTAATCGTTATTTTATTTTTGATATTCTTACAAAAATTACAAAAATGAACAAACACAAAACAAAATTTATCTCGAAAAGAAATAATTGAACAAAAAAAAAGAACAATATCTTAGAATACTTTTCATTAAATATTTATCGAAATGATGAACAAATTTTGAATAAAAATTATAATTGTTTTTTAATCGAAAAATTCTTCGTTTAATACGCGTATGCCCGAAGTCTAAAACACCTCAAAATTTCATTAAGACATTTAGTTCCCGTTTGAGTTTACTTTTGTTTCATTCGGTTGTGTCGCGTGTTTCATTTCAATTGATCGAATCAACAAGAAACAAATGCGTACAAAACATTTCTTCACTGAACATATTTTTCGAATAATTTCAATTAATTATTTCATTTGTCGATTTTTTTTTCTAGATCAATATTTCAATTGAGAAATCTTTCGATCGTTTATCGGAAAATTAATATCTATTGAAAGTTCTTTTTCGAGACTTGTTGAAAAAATCAATCAAATAAATTGATTTTGAACCGACGGTGACGTAACTTTAGTTGATGCATTGAGCATCACATTACTTCCTCTACCTCTTATATGTGTTCGAAAAGGCGTTCTATCTCCAATGCTGAGTTAGACCTTTCAGAACTGGTTCACATGGAGTCACTATTGAATGACAAAATGAATCGAACATTGTCGTTGCTTTCGTTCATAAGAAT